TTAACTAGTCTAGTCACTGAGTGAACAGTGTTGCTACCAAATGCCAGGCGTGTTTTATTGAACAGTACAGTGCTTAAGAAAAACTGAATTTTAATCTCCAAAGCAGGGTGGCAGGTACAGTCTCTGATTAGGCACAGGCCTCACCATTCCTTAATGGGCATTGGACCTTCACATATACCGTTTACCTGCTTGTCTACGGAAGGAATTTTAGCGATTCCAAGAATGCTTGTACGGAAGTGCATTATCTACCCACCACCCACCTGTTTCCACCCCACCCCCACCCCCCACCGTTTCTTAAGAAGAAGCAGGCAGGAGACTAGGACATCCCTACACCAGCCTTCTCACCCACTCCTAGGCCCCTTCAGCCCCCTCGTGGTCCTCGGGGCCTTCCACATGCCCAAGCTGTCAGCCAGGTGCCTGCCTGAACCCTATGTACCAGACTCTGGGGACGCCTCTTTTTAAATGAAAATGAATTTCAGTTGACTCTACAACTGAAAGATCTTTCTGGGACTTTGGAGTGTTCCAGAAAAGAGCATCCTCATCTTGGTCAAAGTCAGGACTGAAGGCCAGCGGCAAGTGTGTTCTCACTGCTGTGCCTGTCATCATGATGATGAAGATGATGATGTATGGAGGTCGTTTACCTAGCATTTGCCATGTGCCAGCCACTGAACCAAGTGTTTGAGCAAAACTTTGTTTCCTTCTGATCTCAAACACCCTTTGAGGAAGGCATAATGGTCCTTATTTAGCTCATGATGAGCATAAACAGCCTGCAAGAGCCACACGGCTATGAGGTTGAAACATAAAAATGGCCATTTAATAGGTCAAAATGGTGCTGGGTTGGCATTTGAATATGGTTTCACCTAACAAGAAATGATAGAATTGGGATCTAAATGGAATTGTGTGAAAATGCTTAGGAAGCACTGAGATTCCAGTGAGGGTGATGGAAAAATTTAGGAAGGAGGATAGTGACAGTTCAATGTGTTAATGGTTATTAAATTTGATAAACATGGTTAATATCAGTGAATTGTACTTGTAATGTGTTGTTTTATATATATATATATATTTACCACAGTAAAGAAAAAAAGAGATGCATTTTAACAAAATGAGCTTTTATATGGAAATACAAAACATTGTTATGTGCCTTCAAGTCTCCTGAAACTCATAGCGACTCTATGTACAATGGCTCTGGACTCTGCCCTATCCTGAGCCAATCTCACTGACTCTGACACACCTAATCCCATTGCCCCAGTTAACCATGTCAATTTATCTCATCAAACAACATAGCTCAACAAAACACATGTCTATCAAATTTTAGTATTAAAGAACTGTCCGTGTATACTTTTTCCTTTTCTTTACACGCTTCTCTACCTGAAAATTGTAGAAAATTTCAACACTGATCATATAAAATAAGAAATTTTGTGCAGCAATGAATGAATGAAAATCCAAATTCTCTGTAAATGTTCATTAAAATTATTTTTTTTAAAAAGAAATTTTACAAACACAAAAACCATAGCTATTGAAAGGGAGAGGGGAGAGACCCTTAAGGACCTCTCTCCAGGCATCTACACATATGAAAAAAAGTAGTGTTCCTTTCTAAAATAGCATTTATTATTCTGATCAATTCCAGGCTTTAATACCATTTGATTCTGGCAAGTTTATAAAGGAGGAATGATTATTCTTACTGATTAACAGATGAGAAAACGAAGAGAAGATAGTATTGTAGTTAAAGGCACAGCATCCAGAGCTGACTCTTGTTAATGTTGGTAAGTGCTGTCAAGTCGGCCCTGACTCGGAGCAACCTTATGTACCACAGAATTAAATCCTGCCCAGTCCTGTGTCATCCTCACAAATGTCGCTGTTTGACCCCATTATTGCAGTCACTATGTTAATACATCTCATAGGGGATCTTTCCCTTTTTTACTGACCCTTTAGCCAAGCATGATGTCTTCTCTAGCAACTAGCCCCTTTGACTACAGACTATCTTGATTTAAATCCCAGATGTACTACCTGGGGTAAGTTACTTCTCTGTGTCTCAGTTTAAATATCTGTAAAATGGTGCTAACAACAGTATCCTCCTCAAAGGTATTAAAAGTATGCTGACATGTGTTGTTGTTGTTATGTGCCATCGAGTTGCCTGTGACCCCAAGCAACCCTATATGCAGCAGTTCTGAGGCCTGCCCTGTCCTGAGCCAGTCTCACTGATTCTGACATACCAACAACTCCCATTGCCCCAGTTACTATAACAATCTATCTCATCCGAGGTCTTCCTCTGGGCCATCCCTTCATCTTTCTGAGCATGATGTCTTCTTCAAGGATTGGTCCCTCCTAGCCATATACCCAAAGATGTGACACAGAGCTTCAAAATCCTAACCTCCAAGAAGAAACTTAGTTTCACCCTCTCCAAGACAGATCTATTTGTTTTCCTGGCAGTCCAGAGTATGTTCAAGGTTCTTCTCCAGCACAACTCGAAGGCATCTATTCTCCTTTTGTTATATTTAGTCATTGTCCAGCTCTGAAGCATAACAAGAAATTACAAAGACCATGGCCTGTATTAGGTGCACCTTAGTCTCTAGGCTGACATCGTTGCATTTCAGTACTCTGGAGAGGTCCCTGACAGCAGATTTTCCCAGTGAAATTCATCTTTTGATTTTCTGACTGCTGGTGCCCAGAGTGTTGATTGTGGAGCCGAGCAAGCTGTAATTGTGAACAGCCTCAATCTCTTTTCCATCTATCATGGTGCTGCCAATTGGCCCAGTGGTGAGAATCTTTGCCTACAGTAAATATTTAATAAATGTACATAGTTATTAAAACTCTGAGAGTTTAAATAACTAGATCAAGACTGAACAGCTGGAAAGTACCAGAACTCTGATTTAAAGCCAGCCTTACAAATTCACTTAACCTAAGCTAAACTAACCCCTCTCCAAAACCGGGAATCAGTAAAAATCTTCAGTCTTTTCCTTGCAGGCCCTTCTCTCTGCACTAGGTACCCTCTATCTACTTGCTGCAGCACTCCTGTTCAGAGGCTGAAGCCAGGAAAGATGAAGGTCACCCTGTGCTTTCTCCTGGCCCTACTGGTATTTCACAGCAAGTGATAAAAAGAGCGAGCTATCTTTCCAGCCTGGTCCCAGCGCTATCACCCCTGCAAAGATGATGAGAAGAAGAAGAAGAAGGGCAACCGTCAACAAAGTGGTGACCAGAGAGCACACCATCAACATTCACAAATGCATCCGAGGAATGGGATATAAGAAGCGTGTCCCTTGGGCACTCAGGGAGATCCAGAAATTTGCCATGAAGGAGATGCGAACACCAGATATTTACATTAACACCAGGCTTAACAAAGTTGTCTGGGCCAAAGGAAAACAGAATGTCTCATACTGCATCCACGTACGGTTGTTCAGAAAATGTAATGCGGAAAGCTGTACACACTGGTTACCTGTGTACCTGTCACCACCTTAAAAAAAAAGTCTACAAACCATCAAGGTGGAAGAAAACTAATAGCTGATTCTCAAATAAAGATAGAAAACTGAAGAAAAAGAAAAAGAGTGAGTGATGATCTACTTCCTACAAAGCCACTTTGGTTCTTGCCAATCCTGGTCTACACCTGTTCCCTCCTCTCTGTATGACCTGGGCCAAGTCACTCGGCTCCTCTGGGTTTATTTTTTCTTGTGTGATCAGAGAATCTAACCTGATCACCAAAAAGAACCGTACTTTTACTGAATGTCAGTTACGTGCTAAGCGCAAATCCTTTAAGAGCTGTTGAGTTAATTATGACTCACTGTGACTCCAGAGGACAGAATAGAACTGTGTCATCAGGTTTTCTAGGATGTTAACTCTGTGGGAGCCAGTTGGTGGTTCTGATCACCAATCTTTTGATTAGCAGATGAGTAGTTAGTTACCCATTAGAGCATCAGGGCTCCTTTACCCTAGTTGATGTCATCACTCACTGTTTTCCAGTCTAATCCAGAGAGACCCTCCAAGGATCTTTACAGGAGGAGATTACCTATTTTTGCCCCAAGAAGTAGCCAATGGATTAGAACTGCTGACCTTCCAATTAACAATAATATGGAAAGCATTATACCACCAGAGCTTCCTGGTTGTTATCAATATGTTTTCTAAGTGGCAAAAGTAGCAATAATTGCTCTGTTTACTATAAGCCTGGCAGTTTTTCCTTGGAGGCAAGGATTTTAAAGCTCCATCTCCTATAGTTTGGGCATCTGGTCAGGTGGGACCAGTCCTTGTAGAAGGACATCATGTTTGGAAAGGTAAAGGGACAGCGCAGGAGAGGAGGACCCCAGATGAGATAGATTGACACAGTAACTGGGGCAATGGAATTAGGTGTGTCGGAATCAATGAGACTGCCTCAGGATAGGGCAGGGTTCAGAGATACTGTACACAGGGTCCAGTGAGTCACTGTGAGTTGTAGGCCACTCTAGGACACAAAACAACAACAACAACAACAACAGCAACAACAACAGGCAGCTCTGTTGTAAAGAGTTGTGCTGCAAACCCATGTGATTCAAATCCACTAGCTGCTGCTGGAGAGAAAAATGGTAAATCTCCTCTCCTGTGATGTCTAGCTTCTGGAAAACCCCTGGAGGGTCAGCTATGAGTCAGGTTCCAACTCAAGGCACATTATAGTAAACACACTATGAACCAGGTCTTGCCTTCAGGCAGCGTTAGCTCATTTTATCTTTAACTCAACTCCACAGGATGTGTGTATGTTATTAATTTCATTATTCCCCAGAGGAAACTGAAGCTCAAAGAGATGAAGTAACCTCTCCCTTGGTACCATGAAATTGGGTCTGACTCATATAGCAAGATTGTCCATCTTTCTCCCTCATGGCTGCTAGTGGATTTGAACCTCCAGAGACATGCAGCCTTCATGTTAGTGATGAAACCTGCCGGCTCCCTAACTTGATCAAAGAGCAGTAAAAACTCTCATTTCACACAACTCTCCGTGTTGTCTGCTTCCTCCCACCTCTCCCCCTTCCCCTGCACAGTCTTCCAGGATGTCATCATCATGGCGGCCCTTGGCTTCGGTTTCCTCACCTCGTCTTTGAGGAGACATGGCTGGAGCAGTGTGGCCTTCAATCTCTTCTTGTTGGCCCTCGGGGTGCAGTGGACAATACTGCTGGATGCCTTCCTGAAGTACCCCTATACAAACGTAGTCATCACATTATCCAGGTAACCAGACAGCAGTTCTTAGGTTCTGGAAGGGGTGAAGCTGTGACGCTGGGTTTTGGAAGGACTAGGGCATTTCTCCTTCTAGAACCAATGCTGTACATTAATTGGAGCTATTTACATGTTACAATGTGGCATAGTCTGTAAAGCATTGGGCTTCTAACAGAAAACTGGGTGCCATGAGCTCATTCTTGGGGAGAAAGATGGACAATCTCTTCCTGTAAAGCTTTGTAGTCGGAAACGTAATGCAGCATCTCCGTACTTCGGGATCAATGCCACGGTAATGTGTTTGGTCATTTTATTTATGTTAAGAAATGACTTTGTGTTTATCCAAAGAGAAAATTTAACAGAACATCATGTATTTTATCTAGAAACCTAACTTCTGTGGCTTCACAGGGGGCTTGACATACAGCTCTTCCTGGCCTTTTTTCCCCTTTTTTATTGATGATGACTTTGTGAAGTTACGGAACCAAAACAGGTTCAGAGAAAAATGCAGAGAGATCAAGAAGACTAGAGGGGGAAAAGTCACACCTACAGAGACTCTTGGAAAGAAAGGGGAGATAGCCATTCCTTTATGTTCTTTAATTACCTGTGATCCATTTATATACAATTCTGCGAACTAAGAAAGCTAACTCAACGTTCAAGTAGTCAGAAGAGGGGTCAGCTCACAAGGACGTTACACAGAGGACGGGGTGCAGTAAAGTTTCTCAATGGCAGTTATTTGGGGGAGGGTGTAGAGGAAAACCCAGCAAGTTGTAAATGTTCAAGAAGGCACCAGCACTTCAATAGAAGAGATTAGTAAAATTTTTCCTTAAAATAACTGGCGGTGTTTTTTGGTTGGTTTGTTTGTTTGATTATTTTTTAGCAAACCAATATAAAATGTTAAAAAAAAAACCAACACACACACACAAAATTCTTTTGGGGGAATTGTTATTGGTTTGGTTTGGATTTTAAATCAGCCCCGAGTCTTGGAATCTGGCCAGATGGTGGTAAGTCCTATCTTGGGTTTTTTATTAGAGATCCTGCCAGTGAGTGGTAAATGGTTACAATGCTTGACTGCTAAGCTTAAGGGAAGTGGTTCAAACCCACCAGCCACTCTGTAAGCAAAAGATGAGGCACTTAGCTTGTGTAAAGACTTCTGGTCTTGGAAACCCCCTTAGGCAAGTGCTACTTTGTCCTTTAATGTCTCCCTGGCTAGGAGTTGAGTTGATGGCAATGGGTTGTTTCCTTATCAAATTCACCTCATGCTTCTCTCTGAGACTCTGCCAAGTTTCTGGGCCCTGCAGCTGAATATTCCTTCATAAACTAGGCCTTGTGTCAGGCACTTTACAAGTGTATATACCCAGCAGAAGTGTAACAAGTAAGCAATGAAGTTCAGACGTAGGAAAACTCTTACCGACGGTCACCCTGCTAAGTGGTAGAGATGGCTTCTGAGCTCACCCTGCCACCCTCCCCACCCACTCCAGATTGTGATGTGACCAAACAAAATAGTTGATCTACTCTCTTTTGTCCCCACAATTAAACTCTCCACACTTTTCCTTTCTAAAGTTTTCAGGTTTAATACCTATGGGTATTAAGATACACTGGATAACTACTGGGAAACAGAAAAAGGGCACCAACTCTGGGAAACTTTTGAGTGTGGTGAGAGCCTGGCTTGGTATTTCCTGCTGCTCTCACTGAACAAGGACACATAAGCCTCCTGCCTCCTGCCGAGAAACTGGAAGACAGAGGAGTCTCAACAAACCAGACTAAAACAAAGAGCAAACCAAGCCAAACTTTGAGTCTTTGAGTCACTTCTGACTTCTGGGGATCCCATGTGTGTCAGAGAACAGGGCTCCATAGGATTTTCAACAGCTGTGACCTCTGGGCTGTAGTTAACCAGGCCTTTGTTCTGATGCACTTGCCAGCCTTTCAGTTAGGAGCTGAGCCCTCAACCACTGGCAACCCCGCCAAGAACGCAGGCTAAGGTGCGCCTAATTCAGGCCACGGTCATCTCCACCATCTGCTGTTACATATCAGAGAGCTGGACAATGAATAAGGATGACAGAAGAAGAATTGATGCTTTTGAGTTGTAGTGCTAGAGAAAAGTATTGAATACCACATGGACTGCCAAAAGAACAAACAGATATATCTTGGAAAAGGGGCAGCCAGAAAGCTCCTTGGAGGCAAAGCTGGCAGCTTTTCATCTTTCATACTTTAGACATGTTGCTAGGAGAGGCTGTTCCTTGGAAAGAGAAATCATGCTGGAGGGTCAACGAAGGAGAGGAAGACCCCCAATGAGATGGGTGCCCACTGTGGCTTCAGCAGTGGGCTCTAGTGTGTCAGAGATGATGAGGATGGCTCAGGACATGGCAGGGTTCAGGTTGGCTGTCACTACAAGTTGTACTCGACTCAATGGCATCTAACAACAACGAAGACCCAAGGAGTATCTCAAACTGTTTTCTTTCGGACTCTGCTTCAGAAATTCCCTCCTACTTATATTTATCTAGATCCAGGAAGACAGAAAAGTCCGTTGGAGCCCTCCTGAATGCCCCTGCCTGTTGCGGACCACTTGGATCCTCCGGCATGGCCCCCTCTGGGACTGGCTTCACAGAATGAACAATGGGCTCCTTCCTGACCGGGTTCCTGCCGGGGCGTGACTGCTAGGCGGTGTCCAGACCTGCCTCTGGGGACAGGGCCACACCATGCTTGTGCCGCCTGACTTGGCACCGAATTGGTTCTGCCCTGAGTCATAGACAGTCAGTTCCTTCAGGGCAGCGGCCTATCTTATTCATCTTTGTCCTTTGTTTCTCAGCACTTACTAAATGGTTCGTGGAGCAAATGGGAAAGGAAAGGAACTACTCAATGGTGTGATTTAAAAAAAAACAACACCAAACTGTATTTTGAAATGTCCAGGTTTCCTCTAGAATAACCTCTAACAATAACAAGCCTTGTGACTGTTTCTTACGTACATTTCACAGCAGCCCCAAAGGTGTTATCTCCTCCCTATAAATGAGGACGTTGAGGCACAGAGTGGTTATGTAACTTGCGCAGGGACACACAGCCAGGAAATGAGTCAGAATTCTGGTCCTGGAAGTCTGGCCCTGAGTTTGTATTTCTGACTATTGTTCACTACTGTCTCAGCATCTTTCCAGCTGGTCCTTGAGATCTCAAACTCCACCGCTGGGCCAATCTTCAATTAAACAGATTCTCTTTAGCACAGGGTAACAAGCTAAATCAGGATAAAACATTGAGTGTTGGCTTATTCTTGATAATTCTTGGTCCTGGTAAGGCTCCTTCACCTGTCCTTTACCCTCCTCTGCCTTTAATAAAGTCCCTGAGCTGTTTCAGCAGCAAACACTGGGGAGGCTGTGTCCACACACTGAATCCAGGCCACCTCGGCTCAGGCTTCCTGTTTGTCATCAACTAGCTGTGTGACCATGGCCAAAAAAAAAAAAAGAAAAGATCACCTCTTCTAATCTCAGTGCACTCATCTGTGAAACAAGGTACTGATGGAACCCCTGGCGCCATTTTTATAGAGGGCTGTTCAGCGGATTAAAGCTAAATGAGACCTCTCCTCCACATCGTTTTTCAGGGAGCTGGGTCTGTCCATTTGGGGATATAACTTTCTAATAAATCTCTTTACTATTTTACCCTCAGAAAACCCCAAAACTAAATAGGCAATAAGTAAGTACAAGCCTATGAAACATAATGTTCAAGAAAATATTTTTAGTTATGGTTTAGGAAACATTTTCCCACCTCAGAAGAAGGTACCCTAGGGGAAGGTAGGTTGCTTTAACCACCATCTGGTTCAGTGTCACCTCCCCCAGGAAGCCCTCCTTGGTTAGTCTAGTCTACACTTCTCTCCCTCCCGGATATGGTTTATAAATATTCACAGTTAAGAGGCTCATGATAAGCCTATCTCCCCAACTGGCTCATAAACTCTTGAAGACAAAATTATCTTCTCTTTCTGAATGTTGTTGTGTATCACCGAGTTGGAACTGACCCATGGTTGACCCTCTGGCGGGTTTTCATAGGTAGTTAATAGCTTGGGAAGAGATGGCCCATTTTTCTGCCATGAAGCAGCTAGTGGACTCAAACCGTATGCCTTCAGGATTAAAGCACAGCTTCTTGCCACTTATTCCATCAGAACTCTCTTCCTGATTACCCACATTCAACGGGCTTACTTGTAAGGAAAGGAAGGCATCCATAGGCCGGTTGCAGGTGAGTCCGTTCCCGCTCGTGGTAACCCCATGTGTTACAGCGAAGAGCTGCACTAAGTTTTTATTAGTGACCTTTTACTGTGATCTTTTGGAAGCACATCCCTGGGTCTTCCTTCTGAGAGCCTCTAAGTGGGTTCAATCTGCCAACCTTTCTTAGTAGCTTAATTAAATCACCCGGAAAGTATATAGGCAATGAGATTGATAATATTAGCATTTATTTATAAGTCAGTCCATGAGTTCGTTCTTTTTACCAATGATGGTGGCTGATAAATGTGCCCCCATGTTCTTTCTAATTCCTACACTATCTCCGTGAGATGGATTTAGCATTATAAATATTATTATCATCCCTGTTTTACAGATGGAGAAACAAGCTCGAGTAGGTAAAAGAGCTGCTCAAGTGGAAAAGCTAGGCTTGCAAGCCAGGCTTGTCCTACTTCCAATCCCAGCCTCCTTCCACCATAGCAGAGAGAGGGAGGCAGGAGCAAGGCCGCCGAGGAGCAGGCGGTGGCTGAACGGTGGGAGGGCCGGCTGGTGAAGAGCGCCCTCTATTGAGCATTTGTGAGTGATTACGGCAGAAGGCAAATCCCTCTTGACCAGTCAACCTGTTCACACTGACACCTTTGCGTGAGGACCTGAGGGTGTAGATGTCACCCTCGTGGGGAAAGGGATAAGGCAAACTCCGACGCTGTATGATCAGACCCGAATGGGTAGAGATCTCCTGATGTGTCCCCAGTGCCTGGTGCAGTGCCAGACGAAAGGAGGCACAGACTGAGTGTTTATTGAATGGTTGAGGGGACATGCTTCCTTCATTATCAACCTCTCTTTCTCTCTTCCTTCACTAGTATTCAAGAGGCCACCATGAGTGCCATGTGCGTGCTGATTTCAGCTGGCGCTGTCCTAGGGAAGGTCAACCTGGTGCAGCTGGTGGTGATGGCGCTGATGGAGGTGGCCTCCGTCGTGGCTGCGAATAAGATCTACAAGGACATCTTTGATGTGAGTCATGGTGCCCTGAGAGGACAGCTCACCCAGAAGGGAAACCAGGGGGAGTGTGGGGCCCATCACTTCCATTTTGTGCGACATCTGTGCTTTTAAAAAATCAAAACACAGTGCAACAATGAATGAATGAAAACCCAAAATCTCTGTAAATGTTCATTAAAACTAACAAAAATTTAATAATAATAAAAAAGGGGAAAAAATTAAAACAGTCCCAAAGGAGGCTATAAAATTATCTATGCTAAATATTTAAACACTGCAAACTAATGCTTTTAACTTTCAAGACTGTAACATTGACCTAGTCACAAGAGAACTATGAAATGTGTAAAAGGGGAAATCGTTCCCACAGTCCTGAAGACAGTGCAGCTGTCCGGTTGTCTGGCCAGAGCTGACTTTTAAGCTAATCAGTGTCCGTAACTCTCTATGTGTAATCTCATTAGGAGACAATGTCAGAAGTTTAGAGTTTTTTGTGAAGATGAAAACCAGTTAGTTGCTAAGAAGTTTATTCCAATTTTATGGTGACTGTACATCATGCTTGGAAAGGTGGAGGATTGGCAAAAGAGAGGAAGACCTTTGATAAGATGGATTAACACGTGACAGCAGCAATGGGCTCAAATGTGTTGGAGAAGCTGAGGATGGCGCAGGATATGCCAGGCTTCACATCTGTTCACTCCCAGGGTCACTGTGAGTCGTACTCAACTGGACAGCACCTAACAACAATGAATGTCAGAAAAGAATTCTGTTCCATTAAAAAAAAAAACAACACCTTTGTGTGTGTTTCCAGTGAAACTTTATACACCAGTTTAGGTTCCCATTCCAACAACTTCTGCACAAATTGTCCAGTGACTTTGTACAGTTTTCAATGCTGACTTTTTTGGGGGGCTCACAGCACAGTAATGAATTTTGGGGAAATAGATCTCCAAGCCTTTCTTCTGCGTTGCCTCTGGATGGACTGAAACTACTGATCTTTCAGTTGGTTGTTGTGCACATTATACCCACTCTTCACTTATTGACGATCTCATTTTCTAACACTTTCATTTACTACAACAGTAAAAATCTACTATCCGACTCCTTTGTGCCTTCATAACATTCACCTGGTGATATTGGCTGTGATGGGGCCAAGTCTCATGACTGGCTGTGACGGCTACGATCCTGTGTCAGCTGGCTTAGCAGTTATATAACAGCAGAATTTGGAAGTAATGTAATCAGTCACCCAGCCATCACAGTGAGTGATGACAGCAGAAGGCAAATCCTCTTTGTGATCTGATGTGTTCATCGTCCATTTCCATGTAACGACTTTGTCCTTGGAGCCTAATCATGTTGTTAAGTGAGGAGCAGATATAATCCTTTCCACCACATGGGGACTGAGAAGGTGAGGTCAGGCCTAATGACCATACCAGCTCCCCTGACCCTGAGTGAGCTCAGAGCTAACATTCTCATCTCACTGAGGAGGAATCTGATGCCCAGAGAGGGGAAGACACTGCCCAAGATCACACAGCAAAGTAGTAGATGAACCCAGAGTCCAGCATAGTTTAGCAGAAAGAACACTGGACTTGGAGTCTGAGGTTTGCATCTGAGTGATTCCATAAACTCCATGAACTCTGGGCAATTTAACCTATTGTCATTTCAAAGTCTTCATCTGTAGTATAGGAAGGTCATTTCACTACCTCATAGGAATTTTTAAGTAATTTAACTAAACTAAATAAGAGGATAACAGTAGCAAGCTCATTTTCTTTAAATCAATTCCAACTCATGCAAACCCATGTGTTATACAGTGAAGTGCCATTAATAGGGTTTTATGGAGTGTCATCTTTAAATCTTCAACAATAACAGTCTTTACAGGAACATAACACCAGGTCTTTCTTCCATGGCACTTCTGCGTGGATCAAGTGCAAACTGTGCTGACCTCACTCACTCTCACTGCTGTCAAGTCAGAGCAGATTCATAGCTGACCCTTCTGCAGGTTTTCACAGGCTGTAAATCGTGTGGAAGGAGATTGTTTGATTCTCTTCTAAGGAGCTGCTGGTAGATTTGAAGCACCAGAGAAGGCTAGCCATCTTTAGGTTATTAGTACAATTCCCTGCAGAAACCATGCCACCCTCCAGGAGACTTATAAAAGTTGATGCATATTTTTCCAGTGTTTAGACCATTTTCCCTCAAGATGCCATTGTAAAAACTTTAGATTTGACTCTGAAGAATATGCAAAGTGCTGAGTTTTGAGCAGAGGAAAGAGATGATCTGACTTGTGTTTTAAGACAATCTCTCCAGCTTCTGGGTTTAGAACAGATCAAGATGGGTGGGGTGGAAGCAGGTGGAAACCAGAGAAAACTACAATCTTCCAGGCTTGGCCATGAAAGTGGATTCTGATTGCATTTTGAAGGCAGAATTGCTGATGCATCACACATGGATATGAAAAAAGGGAGAAGGATGTGGTTAGGGCTATGGTTAAGGTGAGGATGTTTAGGCATGCCAGTGGAGGGGGTGTATGGGAACCTACAGACAATGCAGCTGTTTATCACCTGTACCCTGGGTGGACGGCTCCCACCACCCTCCTCTTGTTGCACTGCTGGGGGGTTGATAACAGTCTAAGCCTTGGGATAGACAATGTCAAAGATCCAAAGTGAAAGTATACCTGAGGGGTTTAGCAAAGCAAAGGGAGTAGAGGAGGAAGACTAGGAGGTGAATCAGAGAGGTTAGGGAGAGAGTACTCTAGGTCCCAGCAAGCAGACTGATTTGCTTGGAGTCAAATGGGAGCTGGATGACCAAGATTATGAGGAGGCCGCAGGATAGGGCAGGGTTACTATTAGTTGTTCATAGGGCCGCTATGAGTTGTGGTCAACTCAGCATGGCACCTAATGACCACAACAAGATCGGAGCCATTGAAGGGTTCTGAGCCAAGAAGTGACGTGGTCTGATTGTCTCTTTTCTTTTCCTTTTCTCTTCTTCCTTCCTTCCTTTCTCTTACAATTTTCACAATGTGTCAACATTTCCTTTAATTCCATTCTAGTTGTTCCATTTCTTCCATTTCCCTGCCCCCTTATCATCTCATATTTGCTCTCAGTAATCATTGGCTTTTATTGGTCTTATATAGGTGTTTTTTTAAAGGAGTATTGAGCTCATGGGTGCATGTGTGTCAAATTGTTTCACTAAAATATAACCTGAGGGGTTAGCTTTGGCTCAAAGTTCAAATAGTATCAAAGGTTTAAAGAGCATCAAAGGGTGATTGTCTTAGCAGGTCCTCAGTAATAGTCTTCTTAACTGGCTCAAGAGTCTCAAATGTTAGGAATTTGGACTCTGTTCCTCAGTTTTTTCCCGTTCACTAAGAGTCCTATTGTGGCATTGATTAGCATTATTGGTAGAGTAACTAGTAAGTACTCTAGTTCTTCTGGTCTCAGGGTAGATGAAACTGTAGTTCGTGTAGGTGATTTCTATAGATGAGTTCATCCTCTGGGAGTTTAGTGGCCTGACTTCTACTTTAACAGGATTGCTTCAGTTGCTGCAGGAGACTAGTTGGGAGGGAAACAAGGCCAAAAACAGGGAGGCCAGTTAGGAGGCTGGTGCAATAATTTATAGCAGTGATGATGGTGACTCAAACCAAAGATACATCAAAAGAGAGAAGAAGTAGAAATCCTGCCAATTCTAGATATTTCTGGATGTACAGCTCACAAACTTTACCAGTAACCAACTACTAAGTAATCCTTATTAAGATTACTACATCTGACATTTAGAAAGCAAAATTAACCCACCAGATGCTCTGCTGGAGAAGGAGGGACAATCTCCTCCTGTACCAGTCAGATCCGATTTGACGGTACACACAAAAAAATAATAATGATTATAAAGAAGTCTGTCTTTTCCATGTTGTCAAGTTTATTATCCCTCATGCCTCTATGCAAATATGTGGCATCTCACTGAAAAGTCAGGAACCTTGAGGTGTGTGGCCATGTGGCCTTTGCTCCACTGAAGTGAACCTCTGTCGAACCATGTAGGAGATACTGATAAAATCCATAGTCCCGACGTGGCACAAACAGTTAAGCACTCAAGTGCTAACCGAAAAGTTGGCAGTCTGAGCCCATCTAGAAGGATTCAGAGAAAAGTCCTGGTAATCTACTCACAATTGTAAGCTGATTGGCTGTTGTGATTTTGTTAACAATCATCTGTGGTCTGGAAGACTTTCGTTTAAAGCAATCAGGACCTGGTGGGCGGGCCTTTGTATTTAAAAGTTGGTTGCAAAATATCACAGCCCTTGAAAACACCATGGAACAAAAGTTCTGCTCTAACATACACAGGGTCACCCTGTGTCATAATCAATTCAATGACAAATTATTTAATCAAGAACAGCCAGCAATCTCTCTGAACTAAATGCACAGCTTCTTCCAGGGGTTCCTCTGAAAGGGGAAGCAAGTTGGGTGGGGAAGCTCTCTGATCACCTGCCTCAGGTCTTCATTCCCATCCACTGCATGGCCTGCAGAGCTTCCTCCAAAGAACACAGGGCATCACCAGTGGCCAGAGGTGGCTGACATTTATTGCTTCTGCTGGGTTTCTTGCAGGTGACCAATCACATTCGCATAATGCATGTTCACGTATTTGGGGCCTATTTTGGGCTGAGTGTGGCCTGGTCCTTTCATCTGCCCAACAAACCAGAGGAGAAAGAACAGATTGCAACAAGTCCCAGTTTGTTCTCCATGCTGGGTAAGGACAAAGTGGGATGGGTGGCACATTCCCAGTGCTGAGCTGAGAAGTTCAACGGAGGTTCTGCTGGGAGAAAAATTGCTCTTCTGCGCACCTGTCTTGGGTGTGTGAAAGGCCTATAAAGACTCGCTTCTCAGAGCAGTATTGGTTGATGGCGTGGTTTAATCAAGTTTCCTTCTAGAGACCTCTTTTCATTAACAGCCAATGGAAAGAGAGACAGGTTGCATTTGAAGAAATGTATCTAATCCTTTTACTCTCAAATAAAGAAAGGAACTAGAAAAGTAAAGAGGGTGGTTCTCAAAACAGAGGGAGGAAACAGAGTAGGAGAAGAAAGTGAGCAGGAATAATAATTTGTTTCTTTTTTTAAGTTGCTGTGAAAATAAAGTTAAACTGCTGGAGGAAGTTTAGAGAACACTGGGTGGTGGGGTTGACAGAAGATGAGTGAATGGCTATCAAGCCAAGGGACAAAATGAAAACAGTTATCAGTTTTTATATTTAAGAAACCTTGGTGGCACTGTGGTTAAAAACAGGTTCTAGCCAAATGGTTTAAACTCACTAGCCATTCTGCAGGAGAAAGCTAAGGCAGCGAGTTTCCATTCTACTGTGTCCTGCAGTTATCAGTAAGAACCAACTAGATAGTAGCTGTGTACCTTCAAGTCGGAATTGACTCATAGCTGACCCTCCAGTGGGTTTTTAGAAGCAGTTAATAACATGGGATGAGATTGCCCATCCTTCTCCCATGGAGCAGCTGGTGGATTCGAACCATGTACCTTTGTATTGACAGTGTGATTCCTTACCACTAAGCCATCAGAGATTGACAGGAGTGGGTTTGGCTTTTATTAATATTTCGAGATAAACATTTGCCCCTCAAATGCTTACTGAGGAAGACCTTCAACAGGATGTACTGGCAGAGTGAGACCGCAATGGGCTTGGGCTTGGCAAAGATCAGAGGATGACATGGGTTAGAGCAAAATTCTGTTCTGTCATTCAGAATCACCCTGAATCGTCATCAATTTGATGACACCTAAGAGCAGCAACAACATTTGGCCATCACAGAATAGGGTCAGAAGACCTAAAATTTGATGCATTCAGGTCTCAAGGCCATAAAAAAATAAAAAGAAATTGGCTAATTACTTCCACCCCCTGGGTAATTCAGAGAGGTGATATAATTTGCCCAAAGTCCCAAAGCTAGAAAGTGACAAGCCATCCAGGGCTAGAGAGTCCTCATCTGAAGCCCCCTGCAGGCTCTGAACTTCAGAGCAGAAGTGGTAACCATGACAGTGACCTTCTCTGACCCCTAGGCACCCTCTTCCTGTGGATATTCTGGCCAAGTTTCAACTCTGCTCTGCTGGAGGCTCCAGATGAAAAGAAAAATGCCGTGTTCAACACCTACTATGCTCTTGCGGTCAGTGCAGTGACAGCCATCTCGGTGTCAGCCTTGGCTCACCCCAAAGGAAAGCTCAACATGGTGAGGAGGGAGCCTTGGGAAGCCCTTGGGCTCTCTGGGCCTGACACACACACATACTCATGCCTCCTCATCCTCAGTGACAGCTCTGTGGGTTGGGAAATAGTTCAGTGCCTACAATGCGTGTGGAGTTACATGGAGAGAGCACACTGGGCTGTCACAATGGGATTAGAACTTAGAAGACAGTGTCATGACCAAAGGCCCTCTGTGGGGTGATTACATCATGAGCTTTGGCTTCAAACAGACCCAAGTTCTGTGATTTCTAGTTATTAAGCGAGTCAGCAGGGAGGAAAGATAATAGTATAGTCTCCTTTCCTCCAAGAAACTTCAGCAATGGGATTGCTGAATCAAGAAGAAAGAAGTCCGTTAGGCTAGCCACATGACCTTGGTTGAGTTTGTGTGTGTGTGTGTGTGTACCGTCAAATCAGATCTGACTGGTACAGGAGGAGATTGCCCCTCCTTCTCCAGGAGAGCATCTGGTGGATTCAAACTACGTGCCTCTGGGATTACAGTGCAGCTTCTTGCCACTAGGCCACCACAGCTCCCTGCAAACTTGAACTTTTTGAGCCTCATTGGTAAAGTCAGAATCAAGAGAAAAATGTATGTAGAATGCTTAATGTAAGGTATGATCTAGGCAAACACTGTAGTTGTCACACACCATTGAGTTGGAACCGACTCATAGCTGATCCTCCAGCGGTTTTTCAGAAGCAGTAAACTGAAAGGAAGGAGATGGCCCATCTTTCTCCCGCGGAGCAGCTGGTGCATTCGAACTGTGAGCCTTTGGGTTTGCAATGCAACTTCTTACCACAAAGCCACCAGAGCTCTGTAGGCAAACATTAGGTGCTTTTATCAAGAAAGTTGAACATGCTGGTGGCTGACTGTTAAGAAGCTGCGGTGCAATCCCTAAAGCACACAACTCAAATCCACCAGCTGCTTCACCAACAAACGATGGGAAAACTCCTCCCATGTGATTTACTGCCTCTGAAAACCTGCTGGAGGGTCAGCTAGGTGTCAGTTCAACTCAACAACACTTGAAAAGGGGGAAGAGTTGTGGAGAGTTGACCTCAGAGGATGGCTGACACTGGAAGAAAAGGAAAATGAGCAGAAATTAGCAAATGGATGGATAAGAAAGGGAAGGTATGGTGAGGTTTCAATAAGACAAAGTAAATAATAGTATTGCACAGTGATGCTCCAAGGAAAAGTGGATATGACTTATTGAATGAAAGCCACTTTAGTAAAAACAAAAACCCACACAGTCAGAGGACTCTGTGTTTTGTGAGAAGAGAAGGGGAGGGGAGGAGAGGAGAGGAGAGGAGAGGAGAGGAGAGGAGAGAAGAGGAGAAAAGAGAAGAGGGAGAAGATAGCACAAAAGACAAAACTAGTCCAGTTAAGCCAACCAGAGGTGATGGGGGAAAGTCTGGACAGGGGTCCTGGACTGAAAGAATGTGGTTACATTCTGTTGATGACAGGTTAGCAGGATATGCCCAGCACTGAGGGAGGTGGGGAACAGTCTCTAGTGACAATAAGCCCAGGAGCAAACAGGGTGGAAGCACCCAGTGAGGCAGGTGAAGGTGCCAGGCCGAGGAGGCTGACTAGCTGGTGGTTGTTGCTAGCTGTTGTCACTCTGCTGGCTCTCACTGATGGTGACCTTATGTGTAATGGAAAAAATGCTGGCTAGTTCCTCATCATCCTCACAACTGTTGCTCTGATACAGCAAACATTTGTGGCAGCCACTGAATCAATGCATCCCCTTGAGGGTCTCCTTTCCTGCAGCTGCTTCCAGAGCCCAAAGTCCTAACATCTGGTTAGAGGTGGGGGTCGGAGCAAGGACACAGCAGGGATCTGATTAAGGCCCAGACCTAGCTATTAGAGGTGGATCTAGTCATAAGAAGTGATATAGGCACCATATAGCCAATAATAATAATAAATAATTACAATGTTGTTGTTATGTGCCTTCAAGCCACCCACAATTCATAGCAACTCTATAAACAACAAATCTGAACCCTGCCCTATTCTGCGCCATCCTAAAGCTCTCTGACATGCTTCAGCCCGTTGTTACAGTCACTGTGTCAGTCCACCTCATTGAGGGTCTTCCTCTCGTTCTCTGATCCTCCACCTTTCCCAGCATGATCTCTTTTTCCAAGAACTGACCCCTCCTGACAACATGTCCAAAGTCTGTGAGATGGTGTTTTCATCTTCTTGCCCCTAAGAAGCCCGTTGTGTGCACTTCCTCCAAGAAAGATTTATTCTTTGGTAAATCTGGGGGATGTGCTGTATTCTTTACCGACACCACAGTCTAAAGGCATCAATTTTTTTTTAATTGTCCAACTTTCAGATAATTGAATAATTACGATGCTGTTGTCAACTGTGACTCAGAGTGACCCTATGAATAATAGCTCTGAAACTTGTGCTACACTGAGCCAGTCTCACTATCTCTGACACACCTGACCCCATTGCCGTAGTCTCAATCCATCTCATTCAGGTTCTTCTTCTCTTGCATTGACCTTTTATCCTTCAAAGCTTGATGGCATTTTCCAAGGACTCCTAACACCATGCCCCAAGTACATGAGACAAAGTTTCAAAATCCTTGCCTCCAAGGAGCAACCTGGTTTCATGGTCTCCATGATAGACCAGTTTGTTCTCTTGGCTGCCCATGGTATGTTCAATGCTTTTCTCCAGCACCACAGCTCAAAGGCATTGATTCTTCTGTCATCTTTAATCATTGTCCAGCTTTCAAAGGCATAGGAGGCAACTGAGAAGACCACATCTTAGATTGGGCACATCTTGGTCTTTAGACAGGCTGTTTCTCTTTAGCCACTTGGGAGGAGTCCTTGGCAGCAAATTTTCCCAATACAACTCGTCTTTTGGTTTCCTGATTGCTAGTGCCAAGGGCATTGATTGTGGATCCAAGGAGGATGAAATCATTAATAACTAATCTTTTTTCCATCTCTCCTGATGCTGCCTCTTGGCCCAGTAATGAAGATTTTTGTTTTCTTTACATTGAGATGTAATCCATATTGAAGGCTGCAGTCCTTGATCCTCTGCAGCAAGTGCTTCAAGTCCTCCTCATATTCAGTAAGCAAGTTTGCTGCATAATGCAGGTTATTAATTTTCCTCCAATCCGATACCACAGTCTTTTTCATAGAATCCAGCTTAAATGATTTTCTCAGCATACAGTCCTGATGCACACCCTTTCCAATTTTAAACCATGCAACGTTCCCTTGCTCTATTCTGACAACAGCTTCTTAGTCTAGGTATAGATTTAATATAAACACAATTAAGTATTCTAAAATCCCCCTTCTTCTCAAAGTTAACCATAGTTTGTTGTGATCTACTTAGTCAAATGCCTTTTCATAGTCAATAAAACATAAGTAGACATTCTTTGAGGATTCTCTGCTTTCAGCCAAGATCTATCTGACATCAGCAATAATATCCCTGGTGCCATGACCTTGTCTAGCCCCTGCGTGAGCTTCTGGCAGTTTTCTGTCTATATGCCCTGTTCTGTTTTTGGATGATCTTCAGTAATATTTTGCTTGCGATATTAATGATATTGTTCAATAATTTCTACATTCTGTTGGATCATCTCTTTTGGGAATGAGAATAAATCTGGATCTCTTCTAGTAATAGTTATATTTATTGCTCAATGTCTGGTACTCTGCTGAAGACCACATATGTCCTAATTGAGAATTGATTTAATTCTTACACTAAGCTCATCAAGTTGGTATGATCATAACCATTTTTCCAGTAGGAAAATTGAGGCACTGAGAGTTTAAGGACACATTAGTAATACGCCTGAGGGATGACAAGGACCCTGAACAACCTATACTTTCAAGCTGATTTCTAATGTTTCACAAGTGTGGTAACTGTTCCCTGAGCCTGAGAGGTGGGGGTGAGATAAACCCATTGATGAGGTCATGAGTTCCTGCCAAAGGGAGAGGATAATTTCAGGATCAGGGAATCAAGGAGGATGTAAGAGCTTTGCCTTAATATCAACTTGCTGTTACTTTGGGAAAGTCAGTATCCTCGCAGGCCCTCACTTCATTCAGTTACAAGTTATTTCCTTGCAGAATCATATCCACAACGCTGTGCTGGCAGGAGGCGTGGCTGTGGGTGCCCCAGGTCACCTGATCCTTTTTCCTTCAGTGGCCATGATTCTTGGCCTTGTGGCTGGATTGATCTCCCTCGGAGGAGCCAAGTGCCTGCCGGTAAGGAGCTGGGCAACTCACATCTACTGCTTAGATTTAGACCTGTAAGGTCCCTGGGACTGTGGTGGGTCATTCTGGGTGCTATTAGCTGCACTGGACAGACACTGATGCTTTCTCAGACTGGCTTCCAAGCCTCAAAGGGTAAGTGATCTTTTCTAAGTCGATTGATATGTTTAATAGCAAGTAACAGAACCCATTCATGAAGGGATTTGTTATCAGCTAGATGTCACAGATTCCGAGGATCGGGGAGTTGTTGAGATCCAGGAATGGCTGGCACGAGGGAATGATGTGGTGTGAGCAGACCCTTCACAAGAAATCTTTGTTCTACCTCATTCTTTCTTTTCTCTGAATATCTGCCCCATTCTCACTCTTCTAGTCCAAATGGTGAACTGTGGCCTCTGTTGTCAAGAAAGGAGCCTGGGAGAATCTCTTGGCCCCAATCCTAAAGTGCTCATTGGCTTAATTTGAAAAATGTCCTCACACCTGAGGAAATCATCAGATTGTGAGCATATTTTGCACAAATGGTTGCTGCCAGTGAACTTTGTGCATGGGGGTGGAAGGAGCAGCCCCCCAAAGAAGGACCTGATAATCTGCATTTGCCTGCTTCTGGTTGTCTAGTATTTCTAAGTGAATGGATTCTCCTTCCTTTATGGCCCAACAAGCATACCAGGATAATCTAACTTCAGTTTGAATTGAGCAATTGGCTATAACATGTTGTTGTTGTTGTTGTTGTTGTTGTTGTTAGGTGCCATCAAGTCAATTCATAGTGACTCCATGGACAGACCAGAATCCTGTCTTATCCTGTGTCGTCCTCATCAGTTCTGACATACTTGAGCCCATTGCTGTAGTCACTGTGTTAATCTATTTTCTTGAGAGTCCTTCTCTTTTCAGGACCCTCCACCTTTCCAAGCATTATGGTTTTTTTCCCAAGAAATGGCCCCAACTAACTTCTAAGAAAACTGCTTGAGGACATGATAACACATAGGTTTTAAGGCTTGAGCGAGGAGAAAGGAGGAAATGTTTAGGGTGGGACAAGAAACTGCATTTGGATGTATAGTGAATGTTCTGAGAGGCAGTTTTGACTCAAAGGAAGAAAGGAAGGACTTAGTAACAATTCATTTGATCCAAACTGGAATAATTATTTGACATCTCATCTTTGGCATGGGAACAGATGTCCTTTTCTTCTCAGGGAGGCTTTGAAAGCTTGAGGGGAAAGAAGGAAACCAAGAAATGAATAAACAGCAAAGTATGCATAGCATATTATCAGCAGGTATCACTTTCCTCTGTTGGCCTCAGATACCTGTGTCTATCACTGGCGTTGTTGTTGTTATATACTGTTGAGTCAGAACTGACTCAAAGCTGACCCTTCAATAGGTTTTCAGAGGCAGTAAATCACATGAGAGGAGATTGCCCAACTTTCTCCCATGGAGCAGCTGGTGGATTCAAACCACGTGCCTTCTATTACTGAAGGACTGTTAAAAGATGGCACATCATCCATCACTCAGCACATGTGAGTGACTGAACGCACTTTTTGAACAATTCATCTATCCATTCAACATGTATGTAAACAATAGTTTAGTGATGGAAATAAACACAATACTCCTGATAAATACTATAGGACCACATCTAAACTAGCCTGGGGTGGGCCAGGAAATGTATCCCAGAGCAGAAGATGTCTCCACTGAAGGCCGGCAAAAAAGCCAGCTTGCATTTGTATTGGCATCTGTTAGCTCACAGCCCTCTGGGAGGCTGCATGGGGAGATGGGAGGAGCACTGAAAGAGGAATTAGGAAGTGTGCCCACTGGCTTTTCTCTAACCAGTCTTGTTACCATAAGGATGGCACTTAAGGTTGGGTTAGACCCTTGAGTCTCAACCAGATATAGCTGGGCAAAGCTTGGAGATATTTTAGGTTGCCACTTCTGGAAAGCAGGGGGGAATGCTATTAACATCTAGGTGTAGATACCAAGTATGCTGCTGAATACCCTACAATACCCAGAACCACCCCAACAACTAAAATTTATCAATCCCAAATGTTAGTGGCGCACAGGCCAGACCCTCTTTCCCCTAACTGTGGTCCATGAACCAACAACCTTGTCACAGCCTGGGGCCTTGTTAGAAACACGGAATCTCAGGCTCACCCCAGACTCACATAATCTGGCCCCACATCTTCACAAGATCCTAGGTGATTCAAGCTGGAGAGGTGCTTCCCTAGGGGAGACCTGCTCCTCATCCCTCACTGGTGGCCCTCGATGCTGAGGCCTGTGGGAAGGGTGAGGAGGGGTTGTGAGTCTCATCTGCAGACCTGCTCATGATGATACTTGTCTCTAGGTGTGTTTGAATCGTGTGCTGAGAATTCATGACGCAGGCGGGGTACACTCTACCTTCGGCTTGCCAGGTCTGCTCGGAGGGGTCATCTACATTGTGTTGATGATGTTGGAGGTCTCTTGGATCGGAAACAGCATGTGAGTCACTTGGCCCACCCTTAGTACCCTATTCAACCTGTAAAGAAAGGTGTCACATCTTTTAACTGGGCTGCATGCATTCAGACACCCAGTAGGTCTTCAGCAATTCTCCCAAGTTCTGACCCCTTATAGAATCATCATGTCTACAGGCCACTTCTTTCCAAAGGTGGGAGCTTAAGTGCAAGGCAGGGGCAGACCTGAGACCCCCCCCCCGCCCCCGCAAACGCAGACTGAGAAGGTCACTCAAGTCCAAGCCAGCTGAATCGGTCAACCAATAGCGATTTAGGTCATGTTGAGCATCTGCTGTGGAGTCAGGCCCGTCATGAAACCTGGGCCCACTACTTACCAGCTGGACTGCTGCTTAACCTGTCTGAGCCTCAGTTTCCCACCTGTAAATGAAGCTAATGATAGGACTCTTCCTGGTAGTATTGTCGAGAGGAGTCATTTGTTAACATTTTATTGAGCCTCGACTTGATTGCAGACACAGTATAGTTGTAAAGAAAATCCTCTTAGCATTAGGAAAATGGGGAGCACCACCCACCCACCCAATCTCATCATTTTATACCAAGGCCCAGAAAGAGATGGGGCTTGACTGAGAGCTCACTGTGAAGAAGTGGCAGAAGGGTGGGAACTTCAGACAATGGGTGGGATGGCAGTGGTCAGTTAGCCATACCAAGGGCTGGCCATTGCTTCCAGTACCTTCTTCCAGTACCATACTTACTTCTATGAGTACCTACTGGATGTAACTCAGACAAGAGGCTTCAGCACAATATGGGCAGAGATTGTCCTAGACAAACAGATATAGTTAGAATAATATTACTTGTAATCACTAGATTTTGTTGACTGCCACCTGAGTTCTGAGAACATAACACGTAACATCTCATTTAATCCTCACAATGATCTGCTGAGGCAAATATTATTGCCATACCCCAAGAAGTTATATTTAAAGTCACCTGCACAAGATCACTGGGATGGCAGCTATCTGTAACAGTGAAGTGGGTGGTGAGGCACTCAGCATGTTTGGGGGTATCTCAGAAGAAACATGGAGAGCTGGGGCCCCTTCCAACTCTCGAACCCCTTCCAGTTCTAACATCCAAGAAACCATACTCTCAAGTTTTGTAAGAGTCCTATCTGGGTGGATGAAACACCTCTCCTTGATTGCTTGGGATGAATGAGGAGAATCCCATTTGGAAGTAAGGAGGCAACATTCTTCAGCATCATGCTTCAGTGATGTACCCACCATTATAACAGACACACAACTCTGGACAAAGCCTCTCGCTTTCCTGGGCTGCAAGTCCCCATCTCTGATGTGCTGGGCTGATCTAACAAGGGCTCCACACTCAGGTGCTTACAAGGGGCCAAGTTGTTGTTGGTAGGTGATGCTGAGTTGACTATGACTCAGTGATCCTCTGAACCACACATCTGAGCCTGGCCCCGACCTGCACCATCGTCAAGCTCAGTTACGCTCAAGCCCATTGTGGTGGTCACTGTGTTATTCCATCTTGCTGAGAGTCTTCCTCTCTTTTGCTGACCCTCTACTTTTCCCAGCATGCTGTCTTTCTCCAAGGCCCAGGCCCTCCTGACCACATGCCTAAAGTTTGTGAGACCAAGTTTCATCATCCTTGCGTCTCAGGAACAGTCTGGTTGTACTTCCTTCAAGATAGATTTGTTGGTTCTTTTGGGAGGCCAAGGGATATTCAACACTTTTCACCAGCACCACAGTTAAAAGCCATCAATTTGTCTCTGGTGTTCCTTATTCCGTGTCCCACTTTGAGATGTATACGAAGCACACGTAGTGTTTAAACAGACACCTTTTCTCTTTAGCACTTTGTTCTTTAGTCCCAGGCCTTTCTTCTGAGGCACCCCCAGCAGCGCCCTGACAAGCTCTAACTGTTGCTGGTCTCCATTTGGGCAGTAGCAGAGGAGGCCTTTGAGTTGCCATATGTGATTCTTGCTGTATACTGTTAAGGCAGAACCGATCCATAGCTGACCCTCCAGCAGGTTTTCAGAGACAATATATCACACAGAAGGAGACTGCCCACCTTTCTCCTGTGGAGCAGCTGGTGGATTCAAATGCTATACCTTTGGATTGGTAACACAATTTTTTTTTTCTCCCAAGTCCTTTTTTTTAAAATTTATTATTAGTTTCAATGAAAATTTACTTTGGATTTCCATTTATTCATTGTTGTACTTTTCTCCCCTCCCAACCCTTCCCCCTAGTACACTGCCCTCTTGGAAAAGTAAAAGAAATATTCTTTCATTGTTTTACAAACCCTCACCCCAGGTCCACTCCACTATGCAGCCTTCACTCTGGACTCCTGTCATGAAAAAAATACCTAATCACATATCCCTTTTAAACAGTTTTCTCCTTCACCTGTTTCAATGCAGTATACATTATTGAACCCGTCTTTCTCAGTCTCTCCCCAACCCCAAGGTCAGTCCTATTTTACAACAGTGGCACCATGCAGTATTTGTCCTTTTGTGACCCAGATACTTCACTTAGCATGACCTCCAGGGTCACCCATTTTGAATAATATTGCATGAGTTCCTTGTTTTTCAATGCAGCATAGTATTCCATTGTTTGAATATACCACAATTTCTGTATCCATTCGTTTGTAGATGGGCACTTAGGTTGTTTCCAACTCCCTGCTATTGTGAACAAAGCTGCGATAAACATGGGTGTGGATATATCTGCCTGGGTTTCAGTTATGGTGTCTTTGGGGTATATTCCCAGTAGTGGAATTGCTGAGTCAAATGGTATCTCTATTTGCAACTTTTTGAGAAAGCGCCGTACTGCCTTCCACAGTGGTTGCACCATTTTACATTTCCACCAACAGTGAATAAAAGTTCCAGTTTCTCCACAACCTCACCAGCATTTGTTGCTCGCTGTTCTGTTTTCTGTTAAATTTTGCTATTCTGACTGGGGTGAGATGATATCTCATAGTTGTTTTGATTTGCATCTCTCTTAGAGCTGGGGATTTTGAACATTTCTTCATGTGCTTGTTGACCATCTGAATATCTTCTTTGGTGAAGTGTCTGTTCATATCCTGTGCCCATTTTTCTATTGGATTATTTACCTTTATCTTGTTTTGGTGCTCAAGTATTTTATGAATTCTGGATATAAGTCCCTTATCTGACACCCCGTTGGAGAAGTTTTTGGATGTGCAGGTGGCACAATTTTTTACCACTAAGCCACCAGAGCTCCCCCTATCTGGGAAGAATTTAGTAGTTTTGCTTTAATTATGTCTCTTTTCATAGTTACCTTTCATTTCTTTCCCATTTATACTTGTTTCACTAATTTCCTTTAAGAAGCATTCATGTACATTGCTTAAAATCTATTTACAGAAAAAGGTTAAATGAACAAAATCATATCCCTGAATTGCCATTGTGGACTTCAAGTGCTAAACTTTGGTTTGGTTAGCTGTGCAACAAAATGCAGACTACACCACCAGAATGCCTTCAAAGGCTAAAACTTGGGAAGCATGGGATGTGACTTTGTTGGTAGATAAGCCTGATTTAAATACCAAGCTCCACCCACTCCAAGTCACATGACCTTAGAACACTTGATTCACTTTTCTCACCTTGGCTTTTCCCATCTGTGGAGCAGGGACACTGACAGCTGGCTTGCTGGGCTGTTTGTATCAGGAGCCATGGTAGAGCTGAAGACCCAAGAAGTCTTTATTATCATTATTATTATTAATTTTAATGAAAGTTTACAGAGATGGTTTCCAGTCATTCATTGTTGCACTTTTCTCCCTGCTCCCCACCCCCAATTCACTCTTCTCCTTGAAAAGAAAAAGAAAAACTCTTTCACGGTTATGCAATCCTTCCCCCCAAGTCCACTCCACTATTCAGCCTTCACTCTGGACTTCTGTAATGACAAGAATACCCATTCACATATCTCTTTTAAACAGTTTTCTCCCTCATCTGTTTCAGTGCAATATACATCATTCCTCCCCTCCTCTGTCTTCCCTCAACCCCGACATCAGTCCCATTTTACAACAGTGGCCCTATGCAGTATTTGTTCTTATGTGACTGAGATAACTTGTTCTAGACAACTCTCTGTGAAGCTAGAATGAAAGAAAGGGCTGGCAGTGCCCAGGTGCAAAAGGGGTCCTAGGAAAAACATTTCCAATATCCCAGGGCCCTCCAAAAAGTTTATGTTTAAAAGGAAGCCCAGGGGCTGGTTTGGAGAAGAAAGAGAAGACTGTTTCAAGAATGTGCAGGAAGACAGGGGAGATGGGTCTGATAGCTGGGCTTTGTCCTGATAGGAATAAAATTGTTGACTTTAATTTCCTAATGAGGAAACTGGGAACCCTGAGGGGGTATGTAACTTGTCCAGGATCATGAAGCTAGAAAATTGCCAAGCTGAGACTTGATTTTTCTGTTTCCTGGTCTAGTTTCTTTTCCCTGGGGCCTGAGGATTCAAATAAGCCACAGAAGAGCCTGGGGTTCCCCTTTCCGACCCCTCCTCTCCTAGTTTCTGCCTGGTCTTCTGGTAAATGACAGATGAGCCAGCTGGATGGGGTATGCCTGTTCTCCTGAGGCTCTCCTGACCGATGATGATCAGCCAGACAGTCCTTTGGGGCTCAGATGACCCCTGCAGCCTTGTGCCCAAATGTGACCACAACTGCTTTGTCATTTCTAGGATCAACCACCAGCTGGTCATGGACATTGGAGCACTTAGCTTGGCTGTGGCTATGGCGCTGACATGTGGCCTCCTGACAGGTCAGTGTCAAACACCCTTCCTATTCCCTGAACCAGGCCCAACACCCTGTCCTCAGTGCATCCTGCTCTGTGGACCAGAAGTATGTGTGCTCAGCCCTGCACTGAGAACAGACCACCTCAGGCCCAGCAAAAGGAGGTAAAGAGCTCAAGCCAAGAGCTCATAATTGCAAAGGCCCTCAGAGGCCACTGGCTTCAGAGGTGGATCCTGAATTTTAGGGAAGGAAAAGGGGTGGGCTTTCCTGACGTTCTAAGTAGGAACATGAAAAGGTGAGTGGTTACACTCCAGTCTCTGAAGTTTTGACTCAGTTTTATACAGAAGACCAAGGAAACTCTTACATCAAAAAAGCCTCCCTTTCAAATAAAACAAAAACCCTGTAAAAAAAAGCCTACCTTTTATTTCCTAAAACTCATTGCTGTTAAGTCAGAACAGACTTACAGCTGATCCTCCAGTGGGTTTTCTGAGGCTATGAATCACATAGGAGGAGGTTGCCCATCTTTCTCCCACGGAGCAAGTGGTGGATCTGGACCATATGCCCTTGGGTTGGCAGCACAACTCCTTACCTACTAGACTACCCAGAGTTCCCTTTATTTCCTGAAGACATCCATAAAACCAAAAGCTGATTTCCGCTGAGTTAGCTCTGACTCGCAGACATCCATGAGTGTCAGAGTCGAACTGTACTCCACCACGGGGTTTTTACTGACTAACCTTCCAGAAACCAATTGCCTGCCATTTCTTCTGAGACATCTTTGGGTGCACAAAATCCCTCCAAACTTGCAGTTTTCAGCCAAGTATATTAACCCATTTGCACCACCCAGGGACACCTGAGGATGCTCATAATGTTATTTTATTTAACAAATTCCACATCTACAAGCCAAGTACTATTGTAGCCACTGGAGAACACAGCAGTGAATGAAGCAGATTCCCTGACCTCATGGAGGTGACATTCTAGTGAGGGGCATTGACAGTAAACAAACAAATGACTATCAGGTCCGATAGTACTATGTGCTATTGGTGTTTTTAGGTGCTAGAAAGAAAAAGAAAGCAGAGTAGGGGGATACAGTCTGTGTATGTGTGTGCGTGGAGTCCTCTTAGATGGGAAAGTCTAGCTGATAAGTAGACCTTTAACTAAGGCACTGAACGAAGAGAAGAGAGGCATGCTATGCACCCATTTGAAGGGAACAGTGTCCCATGAAAAGGGAACAGCAAGTACAAAAGTCCTGTGGCAGGAGTATGTTATGCATCTTTAGGAATCAGGAAGGAGGCCAGCATGAGTAAGGTGATGGAATGAGGGGGAAAGAGCTAGAAGCTAGAGGGAGTGAGGCCATTGTGGGAGATAGGAAGTTGTTGGAGATCATTAACAAAGGGATGACGTTTTTGTTGTCGCCAAAGTGACAGAACAACAATGAATCTTCAGGCATTAACTTGCCAGTCTTATTTATAACCTCCTTAAGAAAAGACAAACCAAAACCCCAACCTCAAACTCTTTGTCATCAAACTGAAACCTACTCATTGCTGACCTTCTACTGGGTTTGTGAGGCTGTAAATCACACTAGGGGGCGGGGATATTGCCCATCTTTATCTTAAAGAGTAGCTGATTAGCAGTACAACCCCCTACAGACTATGCCTCCAGTCTTATAGCCAGATAAAAGAGACATTCTATCAAGAACAGTTCACTTTTATTCTAGAATCATCTTCTATTGGTGAGGTAGTGACATGTTGTGTCCCTGGGCAAGGGTGCACCAGATAGTACAGAGACCAAATAGTACAGCAGACATCAATAAGTTATGTGACCTGGGGCACTTCGCTGAGGCTCTGTTAGTTTCTTTGTAAAATCAAGAGGCTATAAAAGCAGACCTACCGGCTTCCTCTCAGCTCTAAAAATACGTATGCAGGTGCTTTTTGGAGTTCCCTGAGTAATTTTAGAGTGAGATTATCTAGAATTGCTTTAATATACGAGTTGGCTTCCACTTTCTGGCTGAGGTGATTAATTAAATATGGAATCGGAGGTGATTAATTAAATACAGATGAGAAAAATGGCTCCCTTCAAAACTTTACAATCTGTTCATAATGGCAATACCCACCCACACAGATAGGATTGCCAGATTTAGCAACTGAAAAGATACCTGTTTGGGTTTGTGGTGTTGGTTTGGGGTTTTTTTTTTATTATTATTAATTTCAATGAACAGCTACAGAGATTTTAGATTTCCATTCATTCACTGTTGCACTTTTCTCCCCACCCACCCCTACCCCCAACCCCTGTTTGCTCTTCTTGCTTTTCAAAAGCAAAGGAAAAACTCCTTCATTTGGTATACAATCCCCCCGCACACCCCCACAGCCACCCCACCCCACCCTGAGTATACTCCACTCTGCAACCCTCATTCCGGACTCTTATGATCATCATAATGCCCTAAAATACATCACTTTTAAACTATTCTCTCCCTCATCGGCTTCAATGCATTCAACATAATTTATCCAGTATTTTTTACTATTTTTTTTTTAATTAAAATCACCTGGGTGTCCTACACTTTCTCTAGCAACTCAACAGTTGAGACTCCGAACACGCCTCATTAACACAGGTGTTTACAAGGTGATGCTGACTCCATCTTTCTTTGTAAAGCACCTGCGGATCCTTTTCTTAGGCTTCACTGGGATGTTGGGCTTTTTAAAAAAAGAAGTGAAGGAACTCATGTTATCTCTTTGAGAGTTTAGATCAACACACTTTCCTGTTTACATATTGTTTTGGACATTAGGAAACTGGTAGGTAGAAATAATTTAAGAACTGGTGAGTTCAGATATGCCAGAACAGCACCAAGTTAGGCACCATCTTCCATTTTGCTTGGAATCTGTCTAGATCTATTTAAAGGAGCCCTGGTCATAATCATATAGTGTGTGTTAGGTTGCTAACCAACAGGTCAGCAGTTCAAATGCACCAGCTGCTCCAAGAGAGAAAGAGCAGTCTCTCCCTGTGAAGATTTACAACCTTGAAAATCGGCTGGGAGGCCAGCTTTGAGCTGGTTCTGACTTGACAGGCAATGAGTTTATAAATTTGTTTATATGACAATCTTAGCAAGCACAGTTCTTGGGTTTCCTCATCCAGATAGGTTAGAAATAACAGGTTAGAGAGAAAATAGTTTCTAATGGTAAGACACAAAGGTGGATGTTAGAAGTGAAGTCTGAGAGCCTACCAGCAGTAAAGAAATTTCTGAAATCAGACACTTGAAAAGCTTGGGCTGCCCAGCAAATCACCCCACACCCTCAACAACGACATATCTCCTCTGTTTTATACAGCACATTTCGTAAATGGATGCTCCTAGCAACAGCTCTGCATGATATTAAAAAAAAAAATCTAAATATGCTCAGTAGTGTCTCATAAGACAAGAAAACAATATATTTCAGACAAACCTTCCTCCATGATGAGTAAGCCTCAGCTTTCTGGAAAATCCGTGTAGGAGACAGAGATCACTGGGAAAGAATTCTAGCTAAATGAAGGGGCTGCTGCTTGCATCCTAAATATCAATATCAATTGTTCACTACAAAAGGCAAATATGAATTTCACTAAGCACACACCTACTCTTGTTACTGTACTATTTAATAAATTCGGAATGATCCTTGTTAAACACACAGAAAAACCCATCACGAATAATTCGCTGCCTCAAATGCAAGATCCCACAGAGGGTATCCTGGGAAATTCTGCAGACGATGGGAAACTGAGGGGGAGGCCTGAGGCCAGCCTCCCTGGGCAGAGGCTGGATGGGCAAAAGGGAGAACAGGCACAAACAATAGTACACAAAAAACCAACACACAAAACACAAACGCATGCGTACACACACACAAAGACATTACAAACTACTAATTATACAGGTGAAATTTTGAGCTGAGGTTGTTAAGAGTTTATTGGGCTCAATGAAAACATGTAACATATTTATCTGATCTGTGAACAAATAAACAAAAGGTAGAATTGTCCCATAGGGTTTCCTAGGCCCCACTCTTTACAGGAGCTGGGCACCAGGTCTGCTCTCCCTTCAAAGCTCTGCATGGATTTGAGCTGTGACCTCTTGGTTAGCAGCTGAGTGTTTAACCATTGCACCATCAGACCGCTATTTGCACTTCCAAACAAACCACTGCAACTGAGTCTAATTCAGTCATAAATTCTACATATAAGTCCTTTATCTGACATGTCATTACTAAATGCTTTTTCCCAGTCTGTGGCTTCCCTTTTTACCCTGCTGGAGAAGTTTTTAGCTATGCACAGAGGTTTTGATTCTTAGAAGGCCCCATTCATCTATTTTATCTTCTCCTGGTTGCAGATTTTTCAGGATACTTGGAAGACTGTTGATGTTGTGGATTAGGACTGCTAGAGTACTTCCAAGCTTTTCTTTAATGAGGTGTATAGTCCTTGGTTTTAGTCGTAGGTCCATGAGTTGGTTTTTGTGTATGGAGTGAGGTGTAGATGAGTCTAATTCAGTCATAACCACCCTACTGGACAAAACAGAAGTGTCCTATAGTGTTTCCAAGACTGTACATCTTTACAAAAACAGACTGCCTCATCTTTCTACCACAGAGAGGCTGGTGGGTTTAAACTGCCAATGTTTTAGTTAGTAACCAAAGGTTAGTGTACAGGTTCATTTACACTTACGGGGAGTCTATTTTAAGTTGCTGTCCATGGTAGCTCGTACATTTCAAATGAATCAGCTTTTCAATCCGCTGGCTGGCTGACAGGGCCCGTCTGTTCCCTGCTAGGAAGGGTGTCAGTTATGTGACGGTTCAGTGTAATCCAAATCCTTTTGGGATTATTGCTCTTGCCAGTTCCTTTTTAGAGGCCATCTACCAAATTAATTAAACTGGTCAAGAACAGACAGCGCTTTAATTTGTCTCCTGGTGGTGGAAGAGAAAAGGTTTCTGCTGAGATACCATAGTTGGCATGTGCTATTTTGATTAATTATGAGAAAATAAGTGCTGTGTTCTGGATGTTTAACACCTTGATTATAAATTGAAACAGGTTTGCTTCTAAACTTCAACATATGGAAAGCACCCCATATGGATAAAGATTTTTTTGATGATCAAGCTTTCTGGGAGGTAAGTTTGTTTGTTTTGAGGGTTTTTTTAATCTATTAACATCACAAATTTTGAGTGCGTGAACTTCAGAAGTTGTTTGGCTATCTATATATGAACTTGGGTTTCTGAGATAAAAACAAGCATTGAGGAAGAAGCAAATGCATGATTTATTTCATTTATTCTCTCTCTCCTCTGGTGTTTATGTGTCACCTCGCTGGCCAGAGGAGAGAGTAAGGTGGAGAGTAATCTATTTCCTTGATGCCCTGAAGTCATTAAAGTCAGAAATGAGATGGACAGCTACTGCTGACCACTCAGACCTCTCCCCATATGGAGTCATGAAAGTAGACAAATGGTTAGAAAAGCAAGCAATATAGTATCCAATATCGGGCCTCCAAGTCCGGCCCCTCACATAACCAATGATTAGAGTGGAGAAGTGACTTGTCCAAGGTCCCACAGTGGGTTAAAGCCACTGCTCTTGAGTAAATGGTGAGTAATCAACAATCAAGTTTGAAAGAAAATTTAAAGTATTTCTTGTCATTTATCAAAGACGCAAAGAGCGCTTAAGATTGATGCTGCTGCTACAAGTCTCTGTCTGTCATCACAATGGGATTACGAAGGTCAACGCATGCTCCCTGCCACCCACATGACTTTCCCCATAGTATATGCTCAGAGGTCACACAGTACTCTGACCTGAGCGGCCTTAGGTAATGGTGTAGGCAGGGGTCCACACTGCCAAGTTAGAAATGGGAAGTTGGGGCTGACAGAGTTCAGACCCAATTATATCTCCGTCAGCAGCGAGTCAGAGCTAAAAGCCAGGACTTCTGAGTCCCAGGCCAATCCTTTCTTTACTCAGCCTGCCAGCAGACTGAGGACCAAAGTACAGAGACCCAGTATAGCTTAGGGCCCTGAGCACATCTTGTGACAAAGCAGAGAACCTGCCCTTACTGCCATTGCATTGTCACCATTATCATTGTTGGCTTCTTATTTTCCTCTTTCTACTATTTGTTGCAGACCACGGGTAAAGTATTTTTATAATTATTAATAATGAGACAGACTACCAGGAATGATATAGAACAGAGAGCTTGAAAAACAGGGGACCAACAGTTCCCATGACTGAAGGCCTCAAGCCTTACCTCTTTGGATATTTATTGAGAATCATAAGGAAGGTAAACAAAGTAAAATCATAAGTACGTACAAAACAAAAACAATGGATCACGGGAAAGTCTTTTGCAGATAAGGCCAAGTTCCTCTTTATGCTTATCTCAGGAGCAAGGGATTCAGTTAATACAAACTAACAACAATGTTGACTCTTAGGGAGTGCCTTAGTGCCACAAGGTGACCTTCAGTTTGTATTAAGCCTCCCTCATATCCTGATATATCATTTGGTCTACTATTAAAATATTAAATTTTATATTCGGCTTTATCAGAACAGAGCAGAGAAACACTGCATGGTACAAAATTGGGAAAGGCATATGCCAGGGATGTGTACTATCTTCATACCTTTTCAACCTGTATGCAGAACAGATTATCCGAGAGGCTGGGCTCTATGAGGAGAAGTGTGGGGTCAGGATTGGTGGAAGATCTATTAACAATCTGTGTTATGCAGATGACACAACCTTGCTTACTGAAACGGAGGAGGACCTGAAATGCTTGCTGCAGAGGGTCAAGGACTGCAGCCTTCAGTATGGATTGAGGCTCAAGGTCAAGAAGACAAAGATTCTCACCACTGGACAAATTGACTGCATCAGGATGGATGGTGAAGAGATTGAGATTGTTAACAACTTTAGTCGGCTTGGCTCCATGGTCAACACTTGGCACCAGTAGCCAGGAAATAAAAAATTGTATTGCGATGGGAAAGTCTGCTGGTAGGTCCCTCTCCAGGGTACTGGAAAGTAATAGTGTCACTCTGGAGACTAAGGTGCATCTGATACAGGCTATGATCTTTGCAATCACTTGTTATGCATCAGAGAGTTAGACAATGACTAAGGAGGATAGAAGGAGAGTTGATGCCTTTGAGCTGTGGTGCTGGAGAAGAGTATTGAATGAACCATGCACTGCCAAGAAAGCAAACAGATTCATCTTGGAGAGGGTTAAATCAGGCTACTCCTTGGAGGCAAGGATTCTGGGGTTTCGTCTGACATACTTTGGACATGTTGCCAGGAGGGACAGGTCCTTGGAGAGGGACATCATACTTGGGAGAGTGGAGGGATGGCACAAGAGGTGAAGACCCTCTATGAGGTGGATTGATTCAGTGACTGGGGTAATTGGGATGGGTGTGTCAGAAGCAGTACGATTGGCACAGGATAGAGCAGGGTTTAGGGCTCTTGTACATAGGGTCGCTATGAGTTGCAAGCAACTCAACAGCACTTAACAATAAAAACAACATTTGGCTTCCCTCAAGTATTCTTATTTTCCTTCTTCTTCATTCACCTTTATTGAGGTTAACTGACATATGATAAATTGTACTTATTTAAAGTGTACAGTTTTTGCTGTTTTGTTATATGTGAAGATAACCTCACGATCAAGATAAAGAGCCTATTTATCACTTCCAAGGCCACTTTAAAATCCCCTCCCTAGGGACCTCTGGTGGCCTAGTGACAAGAAGCTGCGCTGCAATCCTGAAGGCATGTGGTTCGAATTCACCAGATACTTGGCTGGAGAAGGAAAGGCAATCTCCCCCTGTACCAGTCAGACCTGATTTGATGGTACACACAAAAAAATTAATAAAATAAAAAAATAACAAAATACTAAAACCCACTCCCTGCCTCCTCCTCAACCATTCCACCCACAAACTAAACTACTTTCCACCACTATAAATTAGTTTACCTTTTCTAGAATTTTATGTAAAAGGAATCCTTACTCCTTTTTGCCTGTCTTCAAGTCAGCTAGTGTTTGAGATCCATCCATGTTTGTTATACATAAGTCACCTGCCTCTTCTTGCACTAACTTTTCTCGAAAGCCATTATTAGCCCTTGACTTCTTCTGGCAGCCATTTGCTCCCAGCCTCCTGCCCCAGTGAGTGTTATTGATCCTTTAGCAAAGAAGGGTGATGTCATAAAAGGACTCCAAAAACTGGTTCCATTCATTCATTCTATATTTATTGAGCAACTATTAT